GTATGACATTTATATCACTGTTTGAAACGTTTTGTATTACCTTTTCAACATAGCAAAGAGATGGAACGACATTCAACTGGCGAGCCTAAATGGATCCAAATGCGAGTCCTGGATTTAACTGATGGTCGAAATTCATTGCATTTATGTAGATTTCTTTTGGTTTCAGCAGCAACATAGTAATTAGTAAGTCGGCAGCTATTTGAACGATAAATCGGTAATATCGTCGAGTTATATACACTTTATATATTGTCTCCTAGACACTGGTAATATGGTAAAAATAGATATTTGAAAAAGACTTGCGAAATTCTAGGAATATTACAAATTCTGAATCATGACTTACAATCTCCTTGACCTACTCTTCACACAGTAACAGCAGTAATTCAAAATATTTGTACTGCAGAACACTATTTTCAAACGTTTAATTTTATTCGTTCCATTCACAATTGATGAGGACCATTGAAGCAACATTTTCACGTCTTTACTCAAGTCCGATTTGAATGGCTTTGATTTAAACTTGTAAAGAACCACTAATTTTCGTAAGAATATAAATGGATATTGTTGACTATTTTTGACAACTTTTAATTTCAAAACTTCCTATCTATTGTTCTCGATTATACAAAATTATAGGTATATATTTAATTTTATCGAGAGTATGGGATAAATAAGTGAAAAAACGATTATATTAATGTTTTAACCAATGTATTTATAACTACTTTATATAGACAGTAACTCTCTGGTAGTGCTGAAATAAGTATTAATGATGACAGATTGTTTATTGTATTTCAAATCATAATAGACAGGTTATTGACTTCGATATATGATGTTGATATATTAAAAATTACCTACCTTTACCGCTTTGAGAAAAATCATCACATTAGATTATATTCTTAATAACTGTGAACCATACACAGTATTAGAATGAAATTATGTTGAAGTAATTAGAAATGAAGTGGTAAACCTCAGGTTGACAGTCCGTCAAATTAAGAAAACCTATTTAACCATAAAAAAATTCAGCTGTCATGGGTACAGTTGAATATTTGATTAAATTAAACTGAAATCAGTAAACTATGCTTACTTATGCGGGTCATTTTATACAACGCGCAGGTGTAGAATGGACAACTGTTGGGTGTCAATGACCAACGGACACCTGTTTTTTCCTACCATTAGACAACAGCAGTATATACTCAAGACTCTATCAGTAATCAAACCTATAATATCTTAGTTAGGTGATGAGTAAGTTGCCTTTGGACCGTTCGCTTGCTGTAAAATTGTCAAAATGTTCCATTTTTAATGAACTCACGACATTTAAAGGTCATCAATTCCAGATTTTCGTGGAAAATTTTAATAGTATATGACTGAAAACAATAGTGCGTCAAAAAGTTCATAGGTTGCACTTTGAATATTAAAGAATGTAGTTTCGTTTTGAATGTCAACATTTACGTTGCTTATCAACATTCTTGTTTCAAAATAAAATTATGCAATTAATCGATAAAAAGAGGAGAGTGTCAAGCTATCTGCTAATTTAATATGATAGTTATTTTGAGATAAGTAGGATTATAGTAGTATTGCATTTTGAATAGGCTTTATATTAAAAAAACTGTATTCATACTCAAAAATTATTTCAATTAAACCGTTAAACTGAATTGCAACTACTCAACACACCTGTGGGAAAATATAGTTGATATCGTATATAAAAACTGAGTAACAGGTTTACCAGAAAAATGCGTATTTCACAAAAATGACAGTAAAATATGAGGATATCTGTAGTCAATCAGGAGGTACGTAAACCAAGTAAGACAAAATGCGCTCTGGGATTCCGTTGTTTAGCACAATTTACCTGTTCTGTGGATAATATGTATCCTCTAAACAGCGTGTGAATCGATAAAAAGGACACTACTATGAGGAACCATATGTTTTCGAATGCTTTCCATCAATAAATTGATATTCAAAGATTTTTGGACAGAAACTGCGGTAGAAACTAAATTGATTAAGCTAGTTTTGGAAAGCTTATATCAATAAATGATGCATATGTTATATTTCTACACTCAAAGCCCAATAAGTTACTCTAAAAACAACAAAATTGTTTAATTCAGCGGTAATGCTAATCATTGTGAATTAAATTTATTTACAGCCAATAGGAAGCATAAAAAATGACCAATCATAATTTAACAGCAAATACCCAATCAATTTCATCCTAATCGATAACATTGGTTATGTCAGGTCACTTAGTAAAAAAATAAATACGGTGCATTGTTCATTGATATTTTTTCTTATTGAAATTCATTTTTAAAAAATGATTGTCAATTCGAATTTAAATATTTCTATCACAAAACTAACCAAACTCAGTTGAATTATAAATATGGTTATAAAGCTACATTTTTGCGTGTACAAAAGATGAAAAATATGTTCATGGTATTCATAAAATTATCAGAAATTGTTCACTTATTCTGAAATATAAACAGCTGATTATTTTACCAAATTATTCTACCTTTCACTGTGTTTGAATTTTACGTAAGTGACTATTTTGCATTGTTAATAATAATATTAAATGTCTTGTCTTCCTTTCTCAGTAAAAAGTGTATTAATGTATTTGTACTGTAACAGTGTCGTATACTAAGAATCAATAACAAGGTTCAACTTCATAATTTCAAATGAATTGAGCATTGAGTGAATTAGTCTTAATAAAAAATCACATGTTTATGATATTTCAACAGGTGAAAAAATTGAATCTGTGGCATATCGCTGCTGAGCACATATCATTTCTTCAGAGAATAGCTAAAACAAAAAAGGAATAACTGATCTCAAACACCCAAAAAATATGCAGTACGAACCTTGAATACCATAAAATGTAATCACATCTCAAATGACAACAAACAGCTTTTTTGGCAATTCAGTTACGATTTTGTATATTGTTTGAAGAAACGACTTACATCAAGTCACAAAAGGAACAAAATTTAATTTTCTACTCATTGTGATATTGTATGTTATTTTTCATTACAGCGCAATATAGTACACTCAGTATTTAAACTTGAATTAGTATATTTCTTTTCAAAAACTCATGATTTGCTCAAATTGCCACTGAAACATATCGTCTGCTACTGATTAACAGTAGATAATACTAACTACGGTCGATGTGAATAATTCGATAGTTTAAACCTTGATTAAAAGTTTTTATTTCATTGAATATTGTATAGTTCATTATTTTCTTCTACACAAAAATATTACATAGTTCGAATGAAACTCTTATATGGCGTCGACTGTACTAAAAAAAATTACTGATTCAATTCTTTCATGTTTGTAGGCTAAAATTAATTAGAATTATCGTTTATCAATGTCGATGTAAATAATCAATTTGTTTTCTTTACTATAATTATTGTATCTTCATATGAGGCTTTATGAATATTCAGTATCGACAAGGTTTTTTTAGTGAATTATTATAAATTTTATAGGTTCATGATCAAATGTTAATTTTAACAAGGGTCTTTAATAAAACATACTTTCATTAAATCAATTCAATACAACATTAAAGATTATTTACCTTAGAATATATTTGGTATTTTGATAAAATGCATATTTTTGTTTTAGGGACTATAGTGTCTGTTTGACTGAACGTCACGTTATATACGGAAGTAAATACTATTGAAGTCTAATTTTCAAATATATGTCGTCTCTTATAAATCTACTAATCATACTTACATATTTACAAAGCTTATTCACTTACAATTTTTCTAATCTATTAAGATAGTTCAATGAGAATTTATTAAGTGTTATACGTGAAAAAAATTACAAAAATGTCACGTTGTTGAGAAATCAATAAGAAAAATTAATACAGAGGTTTATCATATGAACACTCTTGACTATTATATGAGTTCTTTTAGGAAATAAAACGTATTCTAGAATTCATATTTAATATACGAAAATAACTGTTGTAAAACATCATAGATATGGCATGAAAGATGAAAATATTGAATAAAAGTCTCAAAAATATTTAACACTGAAATTAATCAGCAAAATAGTGATTGGTCGTAAAAATAAATTTTATCGTGAATGTACGTAGACAATTTACCGATCAATAAATTGTTGAGTGGTTAATGCTAATAAAGGATATCTTCGTTGCACTACCTCTATAAATGTTCACTTGATGCACTATTACATTTTCGGACGGATTTTCAAGATAGAATCATTAAAAGTCTTAACTATCTATTGTTTTTCTGTAATCACTTGGAAATCTGAATTTTAGCATCTGAAAGTAATTAGTTGAAATACTAGCATTTAGATTTCGCGATCATTAACATTCACAAATAAACAATATCTACAATCTTGAGAAAACTGATTATATGGGTGGGATATCAGTTCGTGTTGTGCATTGTCTGTTAAATACGTTATCAATAAACCAATTAGTCTTCAGTTAGCCGGATGCAGATTTGAGAGATGAACACTGTTTGATCACTTAATGAAAATCAATGTACACCAGTATTTATATAAGTAGTAATCCTAGAGATATGAACCGCATAATTTTTATCATTTGTATACAAACAAAAGTTAACGTCTTTGTGTCTAAATGCGGACAGAATCTAAACAGGTGTAAGATGCATTAGTTCCAGTTACTATTATTGAAAGTTGAATAGCAACCTCTTAGTGTTGAGCAATACAGAGTGAAAGTTTACTAGTTGTGTAGTGAACGATAACACAAATGGAGACATACCACAGTAGGTTAAAGATTATTCTATAATTTTTGTACTTATCATTCATCATTATTTTCCAAACGCTACCAGGCTATAAATGTCAAACTATATAACTAACATTATGTATTATTACGATAGATGTCAATTGTGTTTAATCGTTTTTTCATTTTCTTTTTTTCTAGACTTGCCAAAATATCAAGACGTCAATCAACATAACACCAATACATCTCATCTTTAAACACACCATTGAATGTTTTCTTGAACATTTGATAAGTAATAATTAAGCAGAACTTTTAAAAAATTCCGTAAATTTCGATGTTTCACACCGAGTTACTAACTGTGATCTTCTTATGTTTAGTAATATTTTTCATAGCTCTTTGGTATTTAATATTTTATCCCGATTCAAGACAGATTATGAAACGTACAAGACGTGTAAAATCTATGAATAAACAGTCAAATAATAAAGACGCAAGAAAAGAAATTGCTCGACTTTATAGCTTCGATAAAAATGCCTATCAAGAGACGAATCTTTATTCATGTGGTGTATATAGTACTGAACATTCGAAATGTGATTCATTTGGTAATACAAGTTTAAAAACAATCAAAGAAATGATGAGATCTAAAGAAAGACAACAAAGATACAGTTTACAACAAATGTCATCATACCAATCAAATGAGAATGACCATAGATTACCAGTCGCCAGTGATCAAAAAACTAAACTTATTCTTGGTTTATATAATCCACCATTGAATATTACTAAACTCCAAATGGTACAACCAGATTATAATTTAGTTACAAAGAAAGGGAAATTAATTCGAGCATTCTCTGAAAGTTGTACGACTAAATGTGCAAGTTACACTAGTAGTATCAGTCACGAGAATGGTGAGATAAGTGACAATAAAGCATCAACATCATCCGATAAAGAAGCACAAAAAGGAATTCATTTGCCAAAGTTAAGTGATTCAAATCTTGCCAAAAACTTACAGCCTTGGCCAAACCGTACAAAATTCAACAAATCATTATTTCAAAGTGAAAAATCATTATCATCTTCAAGTGAATCTGTATGGTCAGAGGTTAAACGTCGCTTAAGTAATACTGAAAAAGTTTTCGATCCTGTTATGCGTATCTTGTCTACAGTACCGTTGAAAAATCAAACAGATTTAGACAATACATGGACAAATTTCACAATGAATCCAGAAACAAATGGACATATATGCTTTTCGTTGGCGTATACATGCACTGTTGGAATACTGAATGTAACAATTAACCGGTTAATTGGTGTTAGTAATCTTATTAAAAGTTCAAATATTTTACCAAGTCAATCACCAACTAATTTTGTTGTAAGTTTACGTTTAAGATGCAATAAAAGTTCTACAATTTATACTGAAGGACACAATGAAGACGATGAAGGGAGAATAAAGTCACGTAATAAAAGTGAATGTTTTCATAAAAATTATTTCACACAACCAGTTTTAACTTCATTAAACCCAAATTTCGATCAATCATTCTTATTTTCCGTCACAATGAATGAATTAGATAGTACTGAATTAGTTTTGACGGTATTACAGTCAACAACAGTAAATAGTTCTACTGATGAATTTGCCAACTTAAATAATAATAGAATACCAAGACGTAATAATTCCGTCGTCTCATGTCATCATTCATATCCCTATGGAAATGATAGATGTTCACGTAGAATGAATATGATATCTGAAGAGATGAGATGTATTGGTGTAACATTTTACAAATTAAACCAACATGAATTAATTAATTGTCCCGAAAAAATGCAAAATATTTGGCAGGAATTACGCAAATTACCAGAGTTACAAAGTAGACAGTCGAAAATAGCAAGTTGTGATAACAATGATTCGATAAGTGGTCCAATCAATTACAAATTATATCCATTCATTACGGAAAATGAGGATCGTCAAAAAAATGAGTTCGGGGATGGAAACATTTTGGTAAATGATGTATTATATTACTAAGACGTTTTCAAGTAGTCATCAAAGATTATTTACACTTTATTATAAGTATTTCTGATCGATTGACTAGTTTTAATAGTAATAGTAATAAATGAGAAAGCAATCAACTATTCTCAATAATTTCAGAAGAAGGTATCCTTCAGAACATTTTTGGAAACCACTACATGTATGAAAGAGAATCGATGATGAGGTGATGCATAAGGACGATTGGTTGCACAAATCATGAATCACGGATTCCATATGAATATTGGTGAGATTTCTTCCATAATCGTGAAGGATTAAACGATAACCAGTCGTAGTAGCATATTTAAGTGCATTTTATAAGATGCACTAATGGAAACGTTCCAACTCATCTGAAAGAATCATAGACATTTTAATAACACTTTTCCATTTCTGGTTATACGACTCAGCTATGGTGTTTAACACAAAAACCAGTGTTAAACAAGTTATGTTTAAAATGGTTGACTAATGTTTATGCAGAATACATATTTTTTACTGTGACTACGATTAATAACAAGCGTAATTCGAATAAATGAATACCGATCCGTTAGAGCCATGTTTTCAGAGATCGCTCAGGGAATCTAAATATTATACGATGTAAATACCGATCAGGAAAATACAAAATTAAACAACTAACATTTTAACCGTTTAATAAAATTCTTTAAAGGTAAGGTTGTATAGCGGCTAATAGTGGAATCCAGGACGCGCGTTTCGTCTCACTTGGGACTCGTCAGTTGGATGTACTTGCTAGCCACTATACATCTTTGCTTTTACAGCTTGTGAATTAAGGTAATATCGAGGCTATACGCACAGTATGCACATATGTCAATAACAGACTGATCAACTGCAGTCTTAAATCTCCTCGGGAAGATTGAAGCAAAACGATACCAAGTGAATTCTTTTCAGGTAGTTTATATATTTAAATTTATTTCAAATAGATTTATTTCATCAGTTCTGTGCTGCAAATTGAAATGAGACGAACTAACCAAAAATAACTTAACTTACAGATAACTACTAAGTTACTAAACCAAACCTCAACGAATATTATTTTTTTACATCCAGCTATTTTAAAATTAGACTAGTCTTTTTTATACATAATTACGTGTGATTATATCTGCTGTCTCTTTTGATATAAATCAGCCACATTTGTCACAGATTTTAGTTACTTCAGAGTATCAGAAATTCTTTCATGTAAATATATAACACATTAGAATTTAAATGAAATTCTCAAAATAACTAATGTCAACAAACAAAAAATTTATTTATAGTTGAAATTCAATTTAATTCAACTATTTGACCTTAAAAAATTGTAACAAAACTGTTAATAATCTATTTTTTAAGCAAACATGGATAGTGACTAGCAATGAGATCCAGAACGCGCGTTTTGTCCCATTTTGGACTCGTCAGTTGGATGTATCTGAATCTGAGTTGATGTTCACTCCAGGACTCGAGCACAGTACCATTCACTTCAAACGACATCGCGTTCTCCACTGAGTCCTGTTATTTGACGCTTCAATTGATCAATCTCACGTTGGCATGTGTGCATCGTGTGCGGATTGCCTCAATGAGTCAAAAGTCCTGGATTTCACTGCGAGCCACTATCCATCTTTGCTCAAAAAGAACTTGTGACTTAAGGCAATATCGGGGCGATCCGTACAGGATGTACATGTGTTAACATGAGATTGGTCAATTGCAGTGTTAAATAACAATAAAAAGATACAAGTAAAACAACGCCAAGTGAATATTAATAATCTTATTTCATTCTGTGAGCAAAAACGAAAATACAATAATCTGACTAAAGTAAAATTTATCTAATTTCAGTAGTTCAGTGAAACATAATATATTTGGTTCAATTACTTGTGTAAGGATAAACGATGTAATACGGATACACTTGAATAACAAATACTAAATAGAAAGAAATTAATATACTGGATTTCAATACTAGGCTATATCTATAATTACTTTAATTACTTTCACAAATAAGTTCACTCACAGAGGAATCAATGAAGTAATATTTGGAAGTGATTAAAACCGTTAAGATTAAAATGTTTCTTTATTATTTTTCGTAATGTTGATACAATATGGAAAGATGATCAATTAAAGTGATGAAAAACGTTTATAATGTTAAGGTGAATTTTATAGTCACACAAATAAATTGTCAAATATTTTGCATTATTTCTACTTAAGGTATTACTTATATTTCAGTCGAATATTAGTTCAGAAGTTTCGCAAACTGAAGAGTTAAAACAATCAATGGTCAAAGTAACTATTCAATACAAAATAGACTCTTCTATCTTAGAAATTTATATAGAAGAGATAAAAAATCTCAGAATTTTAAAAAACGAAAGTAAGTTATAATAAGTCTTCTAATACTTTTCAATGCGGAACATATTTTGTGAAAATTAATAAAGAATTCAAAAAAATCACTTTAAAATACAGTGATGATAAGCAACATTTTAATGCTCAATGATATACAATTTGAACAGATGTAATTCAGTAATTATTTTTAATTTTGATAGTTGAGATCATGATTCAATTGAAGCTAGACCAACATGCAAAACCTGGAAGCATTGGATGGCCGTTTCTTCTAATATGGGACTCCTAAGTAGTGCGCATCCACGATCGCGCCCAGCGAGATTCCAACCCAGGATCTATCAGTCTCAGGCGCGAACGCTTAACCTCTAGACCACTAAGCCGGCCGGCATCCAACGGTGTTAAACTCTAACTTCAACAAATCCACGAAGTTGCGCCAACGTACACCATTGTCTTCAGTGAGTTACTATCTCACAACAGATCCGGTTGAACTCTAGTGGTCAATGGTTATTTTTAAGTAAAACATTAGTGAGATACTGGCCAATAATGTCAATCATAAGATGAACGAAATATCAATAATCAAAGGTTAAATCGATAGAAAATACAGCTTTGTTCATGGAGTAAATGTTGAAAAAGATTATTGAACTTGTAAAACTTACGTCAACATCAGTAAGTAATGTAATAGTTAAATGCGACAACTAAAACAGTATATATGTTGTAGAACAATAAATATCAAACCTTTGGAGTGGAAGACAAATTAAACAGTTTACTTATTCGAGATTAGTTTGGTTCATAACACTTCGTTTGGGTGCAGAATAATGTTGACATTATAGTTAATTTTATCGTCTGTAGAAGGTTGAAAGGCTATCGAAAGCGTTTGATTTGTTTATCAGAAACAAATTTGATTAAATAAAATCAATAATAAAGAGTCTTGATAGTATCATGTTGTTACATTTTTAACAGAAATTAGATAATAGCTGAACCTTTAGGATAGGGTATTTACCGAGTTAGAAGACTGAAATTTCAACATTAAGAAGAAGTAAAGTTAACAATGTAGCGTTGTGTGATCCTTACCTAGTCATAAGTTCATATATCAAAGAAAAAGATGGAAACAGAAATAAACGAGTAGAGAGATCTTAATGACAAGTTCAGGATAACTCTTTTCATGTATGTTTTTGATTTCTTCAGAACGAAATGATTGATAGAGAAGACCTAGTAAATAGACTTTTGTTATGCGTAGGCTACTAAAATAGTAAAATGATTGATCTACCTAACTATAACGTAAGAGATTCTCAATAGATGTTTGCACTGTTACAAAGACCTAAATAATCATTGTAAAATTAATCTTTTTTATCTAGCTTATAGATGACAGTGTTTTAACACGTAATAGAACCACATACATACACCACACCAGCATCCGAAAAAGAATCGATCTATGAAACATTGTCTTAGATTTTATGTCAAAAGATGTAGATGATCTTATAAATTGTTTCAACTGTGAGGATAAAATTATTTTGAAATAAGGAGTTATGATGAGAAAGGAAACAAAATATTGAATAGGTTCAAGTAACTGTTTAAAGATGGCAAGCAAAGAGCTATACGTACCTGTTGTATTTCCTATATTGTGTCAAATATAGTATGGAAGAGATCAAAATTTGATACGGATTGTGTATCACGTTAACTATTTGCTATAACTTCAAATAATAAAATTATTCTGAATCATTCAAAATCCGTGCAGCATCTGGACGACATGTGTGTCAATGTTAAGCATAGATGTTTGTGCATATTATTGAGCATATGGCTCTCCATTGTGAACAAAAGTTAGCTAGCTAACAGTCGAAAACAGCTAAGAGAGGTATAACTATTTCATACTACTGTGGGAATGCTCTATTTGGTATTTACAACTCCTGTCAAGGATCGAACGTAGAGTCTTCAAGCTTTGTGGCGAGGGTTTAACCCTTATATTGATGAGTTAACATTTAGTGGTTTACATTTATAACAATGGGAAATTACAGAAGTTTTAGTTAGAAGACGTGACTAATGAAGTTCATTTAATCGGTAGTGCGACAAAAGTCATCAATGGCAACGGATGATGATCTTGTAATATTGTGAATTGAATTAGCTACCATTTTTTCAACTTTGTTAATATCAATACATCGTTCAGTTTGTTAGTGAATGGTGAAATATGGAAATTATCTGAACGGGTTCCTAAAAGATTGGACTACAGTTTCACATCTCTCAGTCTAATAGTAGATCAATGTCTGATTTCGTTGATCCCATTAAACTGGCAAATTGTTTTTAGTCTTAACCTTCTCAGCTCATTCAAATGGATTTTTCTTGATCAGTATAGTTGTTATCTTTCTTATTTTCGTTATTTCATTGTCCACTACTACTCATGATCATTTAACCAATCTATACATAAGTTGCTTTTACAAATCATTATGCTTGGCGCCAACAGGGATTTGTTAGTTTCGTAAAGTCTGCTGACTTCCAATTATTTAAACGAAAATTCAGAAATCACTCAAAACACTTGGATATGAGCAAGTAGTTAGTATCACTAACTGCAGCCCATAAAATACGGTAGTCTTTTGGGAAAATCCACTCATGGTGGCATATTTTGTTCTTCCTTTTATGGGAGCTGTGAACCGGTCAAATGGTTGTACTTGCATCTAAGTTGATATTCACTCCAAAACTCGAACCTGATATCCTTCGCTACAAGCCTCGTCGTGTTGTTAACAAGCCCGTGGTTGTCTGAAACCAGTAGCTAATTATATAACGCGATGACGTTTGAAACGAACGATACTGAATTGGAGTTCTGTGGTGGACTGCCAGTCTGGCATGCTGGCGAATCCAAGTGACTAGTCCTCAGTAAGAAGAAACGCGAATCCTGGATTCCATTGATAGCCACCATCCATCTCTGCCTATAATGTTTATGACTAAATGTCAGCGTCAATGCAACCCGCACAGAATGCACACAACAAAAGAGACTGATCAATTCCAGTCTTAAACATCAATTGAAAGATTTAAACAACTAATGCAAATGAGCTTAGTATTTTTTCATGAAGCCATTACATATTAACTTTAGCCCTCTGTTTATAATGTTAACACTATTAACATTTTTTCTAGCTGAAATGATATTTCAAGCATTATTGTGCCTTGGTAATACAACCTTATCCATTGTACGATGCAAACCAATTCCACTTGTTAAGAAAAAATCATCTAATGAAGAGAATAGCATTGATCAAAGTGACCTATTTCATATTTGCAATCATATTTCAATTCCTAATGATGAACATGTTTCATTAAATGTAGATGTGAATCGATTATTAAATTATAATAATATTGGAATAATATTACAAATATTTACCCGAACAGATACATCGAATCACTTAAGACGTGTGGCAAATGTATCAATTGGTGTGACTAAATTAACCGATAATTTAGCATCAATTCAATGGAATGCATTAATTAAAGAATTAAAACAATTGAAAAGTAATAATCAATTATTTGGATCAACAAAAAAAATCACTTATTGGCACTTGATGGAATCATTTTGATTTTGGCTTTTTTTCTCTTTTACAACTACAAAAAAGAAACATATTTGAAATGTAACAGACATTTAAACAATTGACAATTATTAAAAATCTAATATGTTTCTAAGTTCATAGCGAAAACGTATGAATGCATGCATGCATACATACGTACATGAATGGATATATAAATACATAGATACATAGAAAAGTAAATTCATACAATTGAATATACCCCGTGACTTAGATATTTACCATTGTTTATTTGTTTGAGTAGATGAGTTAACTTTTTTTCTATATATTACAATATTTATAATTATTCAGAATACTGTCTTACCTACATTTTTCTCTCGAATATACATAAAATCTTTTAGAGTATAGTTTGGTGTTCATGGCTATAGGTTTATATTTCTGACAAAACATTATTTACGATATGGGAATATTTCAAAACATTATCTTTCTTAATATCGAAGATATACTACTACATGAATATAAAACTATGGCCTAGTTTGTTTTAAATTGAGTTACTCAACAAAATTGTTACTATAACGTGTATATCTCTTACACTAGATAAATTGTGTTAAAGTTTATAGGAAAAGATCAATTAATGCATAATGAAGAATATCAATAATGTTGGTAGAAATCAAATGATTAATTAGTGAGTACTGATCACTGTCATATTATTCAAATCTTTACAGAGTTAATTGAACTTTGTAGATCTAGTTACAATAAATCATTAGTCTAAAAAACTGGACATTAGATGAACTATTTTGAGGTATTAAATGGCTTGGGGTTAGTCAGCAAGAAACCGTGAATTTTACACGTATTTTACTGGATAGAATGAAATAATTAGTTTACATATCAAACAAAACAATAATTTAAAATTGGTTAATATTCGTTAGTAATAATAATTGTCACGCAATTTTATTTTGTTAGCTAACATTTGGTGTACTCAATTACTTAAAAAATATTGTTGTAAAGAATGATTCACTGTACCATTATAAATAAGGCTAGTTCTGCTTAAGTAAAAAAACGGTGGAATAATGATCACTAACGTCCAGTGAGTCAGTTTTAGACAACGTAGAATATGGCGATTTCGTTCATTTGATCAGTTTATCATATAATATCACCACAGAGAGATGAAATGACCAAAATAAATGTCAGATTTTCAAAAATAATAGTGGTAGTAGTGATACACGTATTTGAAAAAAATAGTTATGAAACAAAACAGTGATTCGGAGAATGCTAAATCTTGGGATAAAATTTTAAAACTAAAAACCTAAGAGAGAAAAAAAACACCTGATTCCTTTGATATAAATTTCTAAACGTAACCCTTGTAGGAATTATTATTATTATTATGAATAATTAGATTTCAACGCAGTCACAAAAATATAATGTGATGGCTGTACATGATTCACAGTTTTAGCCTCAAGCAGTTAATTATTCTCATTACTTATTCAATATTGAAAATAAAAACCAGAACTTTACAAATGAAAGTTTTAATTATCCAATAGAAACAGAACAACATATATTTTAAATTTATATTTCATTAAATAAAATTAAATGCAGTGAAAATTCAACAGTCTCTACAAACTTCTTATATCAGCATTGATAATAATATGCATACTTAAAAACAATTTTGAGATACAAATCTAGTTCTGATGAAAAGCTTCAAACAGTGGAATTCAACCACTTCGGTAGTTAGAATGTTATCCATAATAAGGGAAGAAGAATAATTGGGTCAATATTGTGAAGTGATTGAAACTAGACATTGGCACTGCTAAATTCCGGTTCAGACGCCAAGCGTTATCTCGGTGGTCGTAAACTTCGAGTTCGATGCCCGAGACTTATTTTATAAATATTGATTTTACTCTGCTTTGAGTATGCAGTTGAAATGAATCGCATTCTAGGTAACAATGTTCACTTCATTCGTTTGAAATGGATAGTGATTTGAAATGAGACAGACTAAAATTATATAAATTAGGTTTATATGTTGCATACAGCTATCAAATCCGCTGAATCAATCTTCGAAAATACTTCTGTGTTAAAAACGTACGTGGTATTACATTATAATATATACAGAAAACTATCGAAATAATAAGAAAGTAACTCTGTATGGATGAATGTTTTTTCGCAGTATTATAAACGTTAATTTAGATTCATTTACGGTGGTCTTGAATTGTGAATTGAACGAAGTTTCTAACATATTCATATGCGTACCTGACATATAGTCCGAAGAGTTATTTAGGTTCAAAAACGAAACCTGAAAGTGAAATCATTTCCATTGAACTACTTGTTAGTAGTATGCAAAGGTTTTTTATTCCACGCAAAGCTTCATCTTAAACTGTAAGCAAACAAGTATGATCGTGTTATTGAAGATAAGCGCGATTCATTAAGTAGGTTGCAAGTAATTATCAGAATAGCATACGATATTTTGTTTTAAAATGGCAAATTAGAAATAACCATGTCAATGATGACTATCTACATATATAAACTTACCAAACTAGTGCAGTTTGTAGAATGTCCAGCCCACTTTATCTCTTTTATTAACAATAGTATGAATCGTTTCAGTAATTAACAACATTCAGACATAAAACCCTTTCTATTAATGGTTTAGCTAAACAGTTTATTTGAAACATTTGAAAAAGAAGGGAAAAGTACAACAACAGAAAAATAAACATATTGTCAGCAAAAATTAGAAATTCGCAGTTCAGTAGAAACATAATAATTCGTTTTTCAAAACCCGAGAAAATTCAATATCGGGAGATGAATTGAAGTATTACTATACGTACATAGTTGTTAAGCTGGAGGAGTTCCAATAACAGAACTTACAAAAGATAGCAGTAAATAAAAGTGTGGAAAGAATTACAACAAATCACAGGATAAACAAACTGTCATGATATGTTTGTGTATACAATTGGTGACTCAAGAAAACAATTCACAAAAGCAGTAATGATTTTAGAGTAAGGAAAAATTCATTAAGTTCCATTTCCATTTTGTGATATGCGTACATTACTTTAAAACGTTTAGTAGTAGAATGAGATCAAGAAGAACAATGACAATAAATGTCTAGAATAACACAACAAAAAACAAATTGGGAATAAAAACAATTCAAGTTAACATGTCAATTGACAAAGAAATCAAAGTCAAAGCTGGATTTTTTAAAGTTAATTAGTAGCCTAAAACAAAAGCTGTGTTCAAAATTCAATTAGTTCAGTAATTTGATGAAAAAACGGATGAAAATGTTATTATCAATTTAACGAAGCACTAAATGCTTTCATCAAACTATACTGAACTTCCTGAAAAAGCTGGAATGGAAAAAGATGAAATTTAGTCCAAGGAAATAAGAACATATTAGTTTCTATCATCTGAGTTTATCCATAATGTGTTTTCAATATTAATTGTATCGTACAAGCCACTTCTCATAATTTTACTGTTTATTCAGGAAATGAGTGCTATGTACATACATACTATCTACTAAATTTATGCACAATTGTCCAATATGAACATATCTAGTGTACTCTTGCTTAACATTTCATAGGAATGCTTGAGCGTCAGAATGATTCATTTAATGAAAAGTTGTAGGTAAGTTCATTCATAAATAAGTGAAAAAATGGCAATGGACTCATTTGTCGGAATACTGTGCAAACGACCACTTGAACTAGTAATTTACTGGTGAAAAAATACACCGATGAGATGTACCTGAAACCTTAATAAAACTAAACAAATCCCATTTCTCATTAAAACAAAATATAAATAATCAAATTGGTATCTTTCGCTTCATGATTATTAAACTGTATACAAATGTATACAAATGAACATTGTTAGTTGTAATCTAACTTTAAACTCAATATTTGTTATTGCCATTTTATACAGTTTATAAAATGTAATCAACTAGTTATAAATTTGTCGATCAACCTTATAAAGAAAATACCGTATTTGTATATCCATGTGTAGTACGTTGTGATATGTTATGCTACTCATTCAATCATATGAACAAATAAATAATAAATTTGATCTTTTAGTGTCCTGATTTGTAGTTCGAGAATGTTGGAGTTTGTATTTTTCATCGACCTTATAACCGATACAATAATGAAATTATCTACCAAGTGTTGATGATGGAGATATAGAACGGTTTCACTTTAAAAAAAATGAAGCCTTGGGAAAGAAACGACCTTCATAAGTTCTTGATTAGTGCATAACAAAAAGCTTTTAAATATGACTTTACAAAGATGAAACTTGCAACTGCTCCAAGTAAACTAATTTTTAGATGATTAAATACTGTACGTGTCATAAACTATTTTAAAAATAACCACATAAAAAATATAGCAAAGCAAGAATAACAACTAAACTACTTACCTTATTAATTTAAATTCTGAATACGTGGTATTGAATTCAGCTGATTCTCTTGATGATTATTACATCTAAACATTATAAGAAAATTGTTCCTGACGTGTAAGATCATTTTCAAAATTTAATCCACTAGGAATTATTTATGAGGACGATGTCTTTGGATTGATTGTTAAATTTGTATTTGATGACATTAAGGACATAGTACGTTTCATAGTAGACCCGGCATTTATATTAAAACCGATATTTCCGCCTGCTGATTCGTGTGAATTAGTCAGAGATAAAGGCATGACAGGATGAAATGCAGTCATATTTGAATTCATAGCGGATGCAAGCTACAATATCATTTAATTAGTTGTTAAAACATATGGTTAATTTGTCCTTAATGCATTAATTGTTATAAACAATTATGTTTTAGCGTCTAGTTGAGTTTACTACATATTTGGCAATAATATATATCCAAAAGTCAGACTGTAGTAACGTAATCAGCAATAGGTTGTAAGCCTTACAAGATCAACTGGAAGAAGCAGCTAGTGTGGAGGACAATTGGAAAAGGATCAATAAACTATTAACTTCAAAGAACCAAGAAGTGCTGGGCTCCAAGAAACATCACAATGAATGGATCCCTATCGATACCCTGAGCAAGATTCAAATAAGAAGGAACAAGAATACACCAGTTAAAAACAGCCGAACAAGAGCACGTAAAGCCAAGACACCGGCCGAATATAATGAAGAAAACAAGAAAGTGAAGAGAAGCATTAGAGCTGACAAACAGAAATATGTGGAAGGCCTGAAAGTGACAGTGGTAACGGCTGCAAGAGAAGGAAATATGAAACAACCAAATAATGCAACGAAGAAACTAGCAAGAAAATATTGTAAACCCGAGCAAAATGTCAAGAATCAACAAAGGAAATCAGTCAGTGAAATTCAAGGACAGAGGAACAGATGGGTAGAACACTTCGAGGAACTCTTGAATAGATCAGCCCCACTGAATTTATCATATATCGATGCAACACAGAAAGACCTTCTCATAGATGGCCATCAGAAAAATCAAGAATGGGAAAGCAGCAAGACCCGACAATATACCAGCTGAAGTCAGACATCGAAGTAACTACAAACATGCTGCATGTTCTATTCAGGAATATTTGAGAAGTAGAACAAGTTCCGATGGACTGGAATCGAGGATACCTCATCACGATAGCAACGAAAGGAGATCTGAGAAAATGTGAGAACTTCAGAAGTATTACACTACTATCAGTACCAGGAAAAGTTTTCAACAGTGTTGCTGAACCGGATGAAAGATTCAGTAAACGCCCAACTTCATAATCATCAGGCTGGATTCCGTATGAATCGGTAGAGGACGAACCAAAAAGCGAATGTATGGATTGTTGATGAGCAATCAGTAGGATAAAACCCTTCAACAAACATCAAATCCTGTGTTTAAGAAAGTATTTGACAACGCAGGTTGAACGGCGAAATGAAATGTACTTCGAAATTAAGCTGCAACTGAGAAGATCGTCATCACCATGCAGAATTCATACAGCAGAATACACAGCAACTTTAGGCATGTAGAAAAACCATCATATGCATTTCAAGTGAGAACTGGTATTCCACAAGGCTGCTTACTCTACTCTTTTCTTTTTCATCTCAACAAGAGAAAAAGCAAGATTCTCAAATGCAGCACAGAGTGAACCAACCAAGCTCTGGAAGAGGTGGATAGTTTTACGAGCCTGAGAAGCATCACTGATAAACAAGAAGAATAAGATGCAGATGTGATGGCACGCATCGGCAAAACAAAGACAAGATTCCTAAAGTTCAAGGACATATGGAATTGAAACCTCGTCTCAGTCAACAACAAAGTGAGAAGCCATGACCAGTGAGATGCGAACCGTGTCGGGCGGAGACAATTATCTACCTAAGTCAATTGATGAAGGGTTGTGAAAGATCATGGCACTAACACCATCGGATGCCGGCCCGCTCAGTGTTCTAGAAGTTAAGCGTTTGAGCGCAAGACCGAATGTCCTGAGTTCGTCCCGTGTGTAGGACCGTGATTGCGCACTGCTGGGGAGTCCCATATTATGACGAAACCGCCGTCGAGTGCTTCCAGGCTCTCAATGGTGGTCTGGCATAGATCGACTTGTGACTTCAATTGTTATCGTCAGAATCGCTAATATGAATGTCGAGACTGTTCGAATGTATGGAGCTGAAACGTTGCAAGCATCTACAACCACCATCAAAAAGGTACAGGCATTTGTAAACAGCTGTCTACGCGAGATACTCAATTTCCCTTGACCAGACACCATCAGCAACCATCCACTGTGGCTGGGAACAAACAAGATTTCACATGAAGACGAGATTGGGGAAGACGCTGGAGGTGGATAGGACATACATTACGGAAATCACCAAATCGTATCTCGAGCCAAGCCTTGACTCGGAATCGTCGATGTAAAGGGAGAAGAGTCAGATGAAAGAACACATTGCGCTGGGAACTGGAGGCAGACATCAAAAGAATAGATATCTAATGCAGACAACTGGAAAATAGAGCATTGAACATAGTTGGTTTGAGAATCTTAGTCGGGGGCATAAGCTTCCATGAGGGGTAGCGGGTGTATGTAAGTGTGTAAGTCAAGTGATTAGCAAAAAGCTTAATTTAAACAAAATCTGAAAAGGAGCAGAATTTTCAAAGTGATAAGATGTATAGTTAACAGTCATCGTCCTACAAATATTTACTAAATTTCGCAACAGTCCTATATATCGACATATATATATTGGTCATAATTGTGTTTGACTGAATTACGTCAAACGATAAACTCCATAAACTCTGATGATGCATGGCTAATTACGGTAAAAACTCGACAATAATCATATGAAAATAAGATTCGTATTTGAAAAAGATCATTTGTTCTGAGACTCCCATTGATCGAAATAGGCAAATAAAGAGTCAATATCATCCAAGGAAATAAATAAATAAATTTCACTATACATAGTCTCAGGCTAACATTTGCATGTTCAATATGTTGATTAAAACTAGTCGAAATCCAGCTTTGGACGCGTACAGGATTTCGTCAATCTAATGCGCTTCAAAAGTTAATGTTTAAAAGAAATTGATGCACAAATAAAAGATCCTAGTAATTGAAACAATAATAGGATGGAAAGTTCTAACCGGTTTATTGAACTGTTTTTAAACAACAGTGCTCAATCATAAATTCATTATTATATGTAAACTGGTTTTCAAGTACTCACAGTTATACAAAATTTTCAATGCATTGATGAGAAAGATATAATAGCACAGTATCCCTTGTTAATGCACATATTAGTTGGAGACTAATGGATTCATTTAAGACAATGAAAAAGCTTCTGTATTTTCATTCTGATATTACTATCACTACGACTACAATGGAAACAAATGCAAACGGAATCACTCTTTATCAAATACACTACAGTAGTAACAGAGATTAAACAAGTTCTTTTAATCGGGAAGAGTAAATGAAGTTCTTTATGATAGAAAACAAAACCCAGAATTTTATTTTCTATTAAACCTAATAATGAATGTGATAACACATTAATCTGTATTGAAATAACATATGCTAAAAGAAAGCTTTATGGTACTCTTTAGTTAGTGTACGAGTAGGTGGGAGGAAGAGTAGGAACGAACAATACAAAACATGACATCAGTTCATAAAGTTATTGACTAAAGCTGGTTAGTGTTGGACGGTAAGTGGTACAGTAGAAACAGCCACTCTTTAACATCTTTTAGATTTTGAATTTTAAAATTATCTTATACTTTAGTTCATTTTGTATCAGTTGTTTTAATCTTCCCATTGATGTTAAGGACTGCATTTGATCAGTCACCTATTGGCTTATGTGCATCCTGTCTGAATTGCCTCGATATTGCTTTAAGTCACAAGCATTATAAGCATTATAAGTACATATTCTTTATTCTCGAATTATAATGTCTATGTATTATCTTTTTAACTACTACTGCTGCTACCATTACTTCTAATAACCAGCTATTTGTATTAATTATTGCATATCACTATAATAATATTGTGTGTCAATTTGAATCGATGAAAATATTTGTCAGATTTGATGAAATTATGACTAACTGACTGACATTTAGAGCTTAAATCCAGCAGTGATAATTAAAGCAATTATCTACTACAAATTGTCAATGAACTCAAATGTCGTATCTGTATTATATTATCAACAGATGACTGTTATTACTTTAATACGATAAAAAGTATGGTATAAGTTATAATTGTTAGTAATGATCATTTAACATACTTCTTCATACAATTTTAAACGTGTTTTCAATCGTTCTACTTCAGCAGTCAATCGAGAATTTTCACATTCTAGTTCTAAAAATAAAGAGAATATAAAACTACTCTTTAGAAATATTGACAGAAGATTACAACAACACTTACAAATAATAGCAAAATACTTAAAATTACTAGTTCTACATATATAACACCCAGTTATATTGTTGAACTAAGTATTCATTAGTTAATTTTAGAGTCAAATACAGTTTATGTAAGACGAAAATGAAGTTAATGTTACATTGAATGTTCTCATCAATAACTTGAGATTACCTGTTGAGCATTTAGTCAATTTAATAAGTCATCTCTTGTAAACATTTCTGAATACTTTATACCAGAATGAATCTAAACAAAGAAAACAATAAAATGAAACCGTTCAAAAATATAGTTTGCTTATGTTAACTTAAACTATCAACTAGTACGCTATTTTTTGTTGATCATAAGCTTTTCATTGATGGTTACATTTTAAAATAAATAATGGTTCTTTCTAATATATAACTGTGAATATCTTTAGTTTGAAATATTTAAATTTTAAACACCATAAAATAGTTTGAATTATAATCCACAATTATTTGACATAAGTGTCCAGTTGAAAAACACAGTCATGGAAAACAGAACTAATCTTCTCGTGATTAACTGAGAAGAAATCTATCCAGTTATTACTCACATATAGTATTATAATACTGTTACTGACTTTAAAAAATCAACTATTTTACTCAACATTTATTTCTCGTAAACAGTTTAAATTTTGATTTAATGGTAAGCAAGATGAGCCACTCAATCTTTAATATCAAATCCGTTCATAGATTAAAGATTATTGATCATTGGTGTACACTGCTAGAACGTTTCAAACTAGAGCTCCATATTTCTTAATTCTTTTTTAACTGTTATTGTTTCATTATTTTTATTTCGAAAGAGAAATTTATCATTAAAAATACTTTAGCTTTAATCTGTAATTTGTCAAGCATCCAATTTGATTAATTCGAAAAGAATGGAAGGCGAGAGTATACTATACCAACGACTTTCAGTAACTTACTAACCGTTCATGAAACAGTGTTTCGTTATAAAATAATTAGCAATGGAAAGCAATAAAATTACAGAGGAATAATAGTTGAGATATGACCAACTCTTACATGTTAAATTATTCATCACAGTAAAAGAAAAAAAGTGAGATTTACATATGAATCGAGCTAGTGTTAGGGTTATTAGCCTATTAGTATAATATATTTTCACACAAAATAAATCTAATGTTTGCACACATTTTGTGATCTGTTTACAATGAACGAATTTGCAAATCTTATTGTAATGTTCTCTGAAAATGATGACCAGTATATTATTGATACGTTGTACAGCAACAAAATTACTTGGGAAATTCAATTAATTTATATTATTTTCTGTATTATAATTGATTTCATTCATTTTAAAATAAACTCTCTTATTGAACGTTAGTAGCAAAATACATGCGGTAAGTTGGGATCTGAAATACTTAGTGTAATTAAAGAAAACTGTAAATGATTTCACGTATAAAAATTAGTTAGATTGAAAAAATCAAGCACAATGTATTTCAACCACGTAATATCGCTTATGACTATTATTTGTTGTATCCAAGGTTATATTTTGTAAGCTCCAGAGAACTCGGACTGTTTTTAATCATTTCTGTTTACATACACTAGTTTTTTTACCTTCTTCCCATATTTTTCATGTTTATCATAGTTGTGAGTAATATTGTGATCAAATATTTCAGATATGAGCTGAATCCTATCAACTATCAATAAATTTATTTTCGAACAAGTGGTGAGTGCACAAGCTGAATACACAGAAGCAAACAAGCAAGTGAAGAAGAGCATTATAGCCGATAAGAAGAAATACGTGGAAGAACTAGCAACGACGGCGGAAAAAGCTGCTAGAGAAGGAAATATGAAACAGCTTTACGATACAACGAAGAAACTATCAGGGAAATACAGTAAACCAGAGAGACCGGTCAAAGACAAAGAAGGCAAGCCAATCATCGAAATTCAACAACAGCGGAACAGATGGGTAGAATACTTCGAGGAACTCCTGAATAGGCCAGCTCCAATGAATCCACCGGACAACGAAGCGGCACACACAGATCTTCCCATAGACGTCAACCCACCAACGAAGGAAGAAATCAGAATGGCCGTCAAACAAATCAAGAACGGGAAAGCAGCGTGACCGGACAACATACCAGCTGAAGCACTGAAGTCAGACATCGAAACAACTACAAACATGCTTTATTTTCTATTCAAAAAGATTTGGGAGGAGGAAGAAGTGCCGATGGACTGGAAAGAAGGGCACTTCGTCAAGATTCCAAAGAAAGGAGATCTGAGCAAATGTGAAAACTATAGAGGCATTACATTGCTGTCAATACCAGGGAAGGTCTTCAACAGAGTGTTGCTGAACCGGATGAAAGGTGCAGTAGACGCCCAACTTCGAGATCAACAAGCTGGATTCCGTAAGGATCGATCATGCACAGACCAAATTGCAACACTACGGATCATCGTCGAACAATCAGTTGAGTGGAACTCATCACTATGCATCAACTTCATTGATTATGAAAAGGCATTTGACAGTGTGGATAGGAGGACGTTATGGAAACTTCTACGACACTACGGAGTTCCTGAGAAGATTGTCAGTATTATCCAGAACTCATACAACGGACTACAATGCAAAGTCATGCATGGAGGACAGCTGACAGATGCATTCCAAGTAAGGACCGGAGTCAGACAAGGCTGTTTACTCTCTCGCTTCCTCTTTCTTCTGGTGGTCGACTGGATTATGAGGACCTCGACATCTGAAAGAAAACACGGAATACAATGGACAGCTCAAAATCAATTAGACGATTTGGACTTCGCAGATGACCTAGCCCTCCTATCGCAGACACACGAACAGATGCAGACAAAGACAGCCAGTGTGGCAGCAGTCTCTGCATCAGTAGGCCCCAGCATACACAAAGGGAAAACCAAGGTCCTCAAATTCAGAGCAGAGAACAGCAATCCAATCACTCTTGATGGCGAAATTCTGGAAGATGTAGAATCCTTCACATACCTGGAAAGCATCATCGATGAACAAGGAGGCTCAGATGCAGACTCTCAACCAATATCAAAGTGAGAATCTTCAATACCAACGTCAAGGCAGTTCTACTGTATGAAGCTGAAACTTGGAGAACTACAACAACAACCATCAAGAAGGTACAAGTATTTATAAATAGTTGTCTACGCAAGATACTCAACATCCATTGGCCGGATACCATCAGCAATAGCCTTCTGTGGGAGAGAACAAACCAACTTCCAGCTGAAGAAGAAATTAGGAAAAGACGATGGAAATGAATGGGATATACATTACGCAAATCGTCAAACTGCATCACGAGGCAAGCCCTAACTTGGAATCCTGAAGGGAAGCGAAAAAGAGGAAGGCCAAAGAACACATTACGTCGGATAATAGAAGCAGATATGAAAAGGATGAATAGGAACTGGAAGGAGCTGGAAAGGATTGCCCAGGACAGAGTTGCATGGAGAATGCTAATGAGTGGCCTATGCTCCTTCACGAGGAGTAACAGGTGTAAGTAAGTAAGTAAGGTGAGTGCACTGAACACCAGTTCAATCTGTATTTCTTTAGGGTTTTGAAACTTCGCTTATTTAATTAGAAGATATGTCTAAGCTTCAGGCTAGCGATTATAGATGTCATCGAAGGGTTGCGCACATTTTATGAAACGACTGAGTTATTAATGTTGAAGTTATCTATAAAGTACCAGACACTAATGAAAAATAGGTTGAAAAGGTCGCAAACCTACATAAACTGAGACGATGAGGGAATGTATAAAGTATTCCTAGCCACTGTTAATCTCGACAGGTGATGTGAATTGTTGTAGTTGTTTGGATGAAAACTAGTAGAGTGCCAAACCAAAAAGTACATCAGTACTTGAAGTCAGTGACGGTTAGAACGAGTTTCGTTGTTAGATACACAGTGGTTAGCGTCCACGCGATAACTTCGATCAGTGTTTGAAAGCTATTATAACAAGGTGATTATGAGAAAAGTTGAATTTTGAAACTGTCCCACCTGAAGCTTTTGTTTCGATTTTTGTTCTCTAATTACAAAATACTTTAAATACAGTATTTTTGCATGCTCTTGCTTGTAAGCTTTTGTTGATGTTCAAACTAATGTTGTATATTAAATTTTCCTTAAGTTAATGTTATTTTATTATGGATTAATTGTTCAGTCCTATTCCACTTTTGGCGTAGTTATGCTGTCATTGCAATTTCTTATTTATCCTGATTTGTGATCAAGATTTTATTCTAGATTATTGTATGCAGTTTGAGTTATGATTATAGTGACTACAACAGGGAAGTAATCTGTCTTCTCCTTTCATCTTCTGATAGGCCACTAAGTTAGATGAAGTACGAAGACCAGTAGGAGTTAACACTTTGGTTGCTTTTCATTGGTCGACTTATCAAACGGCAATTAAAAGTCGTCGGTTCTACTGGTAATAAAGGTGAACTAATCGATAATCGTACTAGACCTGATCACAGGAGACCCTATAAAATTAAAGCCAGGCAAATAAACTGTTGTCGTTTATTCCGACATAACAGAGTTTGGTTGAAAAATGGATCCAGAACGATCAGAATAGAGCAGATGAATTCTTTTTATTTAATTACAAACCACATATTTTCCAAATTAATTCAAAAGTTGGTAAAATAAGGAAGTGATAAATTCTTCAAGATGTGAAAATAAAATACAAAGTAACCTGATGAGTTTCATACTAAGACTAAACAGCCATCCAGTGATTTTAGGTATTCAATGGTGGTCCAACACTGATCGATTCATGATTTTGTTAAGAACTCAACGATCTCTACAACTCTATACCTACGAGCTTTGTTCAGGAATGTTTTCCAATAAGGTTTCGAATAATTAACTTTGGTGTATTGAACATAATCATGTTACCAAATAAGTTCAAACCTACCGTATAGTAATCAAAATATTTAAAATTATAACGAAAATTATTGTCACTATATTTAAAAAAATACCATTAAACGTATTAAATGTTCGGTTTATTCAATTAACATTGAATATTACATGTAAGTTAAGTTTAACTCTAACTCCGACCCATAACCCTAAATCACCAATTTTAACTCTAAACTCAACCACAAACATTTTATAAACTCTTGGAAACTATATGCCTCCTTATAAGGGTTCAAGAAGACTGATGTACCATAGATATTTGGATGAAGCTAAATCTCATTACTTTTTTAGTTACCGACTAAAGAATGTTTGAAAAACCTGTGTACAATCATTGTAGTAAAGTGGTTTATTGCCGCAAATTATTTATTCACAATGGCTGCTTTTTACTGATTAATAGCTGGTTAAAATTTGTCAGTTATTTCCAAAATTTCTACTTATAATATGCTATACTCATACTAACCTATTAACTTGTTTATCATTAACATGATATTGAACAAATCTTGATATTTTGAATCTGTTTTTTGTTATTTAACTAGTATCATCTATTATTGATGAAGGTATTTTTCATAGCGGTATTGTCGCATTAATTAAAAAGAACTAGTGAAAACCTATGATTACTGAACAGTCTTTTTGTTTTCAAGTGCATATTACATAATGAAAAAGAGTACACATCTGCAATCTCATGCATAATTAAACATGTATGACTCATAAATTACTTTAAGTCACTTACTGAACACCAGTTAGTATATGTTGACAACGTTAATCAATTTACATCGTATCGTGATAATATTCTCTAATATCGATGATAATAGAGTAATACAATAAACTACTACACATACTTTAGTCAATATTACCTTTATTTCTTAGATTGTCATCTTGAATTAATTTAGGACTATCTCTAGTCGTTGGTGGAAAATAATCTCTTCTGGAGATTTCTGCTTCATTTCCTTCTTGTGTGAATTCATTTACTTCCATTCTTTTCTCTTGAGGTCTTCTTGACTGCTCCAAGCTTAAGATACGGTTTCCATTGAGTAATTCTTCTTGAAATGTATGATTTTTATTTTCATTTATGTAATTACTGTTAACATCATTGCTATGGTTACTGGTGTTTTTTGTATGACCGTTAGATGTTACATCTATGTGTGGATTTGATTGTGATTTACCAATGGTTGAATAAATTCGACTAGTGGAAGATGTTGTAGATGGTACAGCAGCGAATGAACCATTATTCGAAGAATATTTTGATAAATTAGTTTTTAGTTCACTTATTTTATAACGAGCAAAGCTTTCTGAAACCGCTTCTTCAATAAAATTCTACAGATAACATGAGAAAAGTTTGAATCAAAATTTATGGTCAAATTATTGCTAATCATGAGATATTTATCAATGAGTATGAATGAATATAATATAGGTGGTTACTTTAGTATTATGTATAGTTGTCGTAATCTTGTGCATTAAAATTGTTCTTCAGTGCATGTTGCAACTAGAAAATGTGAACTTAGCAGATGACCTAACTACAATTGATTGATCACTGGGTGGTGATCAATGTCTTGCTTGTCTAGTCCTTAGCCCACATTGCAACATGATCGATAGCATTCGATCTGCACTAATAAGGACTAGACAAGCAAGACATTGATCACCACCCAGTGATCAATCAATTGTAATTACATCTCAGTCCTACAGGAGGTTAGTCACTGCTCGGATAGCTCAGTGGTAACGTCTCTGACTGTGAAGCTGGGTGACACGAGATCGAATCCGCCAGGGAGCACCAGTTCCCTCAGGATTACAGGTACACCTTGCTGACGAGTGCCAAGTAGCACGAAACCCGGGTCCAGGGTTTCCTGTTGACTACCTCCAACCACCATCTAAATCTCAGATGACCTAATTCTTTTATCCTATACAAACCAATAAATCCAGGTAAAGACAGCCAGTGTAGCACCAGCCTCTGCGGTAGTAGGCCTCAACATACACAACAAAAAAAGCAAAATCCTTAAATACAACACAGAGAGAACCAACCAAGTAACACCTGATGCAGAAGCTCTGGAGGAGCTAAAACGTTTTACGAACCTGAGAAGCAAAATTAATAAACGGGAAGGATACGATGCAGACGTAAAGGCGGGGGTTGACAAGGCAAGGTACGCATTCCTACAGTTGAAGAACATATGGAAATTAAATCAACTCTCAATTTAATTGTTAATGTCAGAATCTTCAATACAAAGGTCAAGATAGTTCTACTGTATGTAGCTGAAACGTGGAGAACTACCATAACCGTCATCAAAAAGGTATAGGCACTTGTAAACAGATACTCAATTCCCCTTGACCAGACACCGTCAGCGACCATCCACTGTGGCTGGGAACAAACAAGCTAACACATGAAGAGGGGATTGGGGTAAGATGCTAGAGGTGTATGAATTTACAAGTCGATCTATGCCTGGAAGCACTGAATGACCGTTTCGTTATAGTACGGGACTCCCCAGCAGTGCGCAATTACAGTCCTACACACAGGACGAACCTAGGACCTTCGGTCTCGCGTGCGAACGCTTAATCTCTAGAACACTGAGCCGGCCGGGATCCGATGGTGTTAGTGCCATGATCTTTCACAACCCTCCATCAATTGACTGAGGTAGATAATTGTCTCAGCTCTTCCAGAGCGTCTGCATCAAGTGTTACTTGGTTGGTTCTCTCTGTGTTGTATTTAAGGATCTTGGTTTTTCTTTTGTGTATGTTGAGGCCTACTACAGCAGAGGCTGGTGCCACACTGGCTGTCTTTACCTGGATTTGTTGGTATGTATAGGATAAAAGAGTTAGATCATTTGCGAAATCCAAACTTTCTGTCCGTTGTATTCCGTGTTTCCATTAAGATGTTGAGGCCTTCATAATCCAGTCCATCATCAGAAGATGGTAACATCATATTTAATTGTTGGTCATAGGTACATACACATTTTATTGAGACACACTCAGTTATCTTACACATCGGGTACAATGTAACGACTATAGGCTATAATGAACGTAACGTTGACATTTAAGTACATTAGAATCGTTAATTTTGTATTATTAAAATAGTTTTAATCGGTGGTATATTTGACTTTTTATACTTGAAATTTCGATCAATCAAAGCATTTTCAGTTAAAATAACCGAAATAGTTATGACCGCGAAGTCTGATTTTTCATATGTTCCTATGTTACAATAATTTTCCATTAATTATTTATGGTTTTATATGATACTAAATTGTTACCTTAAATGAAATATCATTATTAAAGTGCTTTTCAGTTGAAAAAAGCTGTCCGAAGTAAAATCAGAAAGAAATAATCAATTAGAAGGCTGGTTAAGTAGCTAGGACGGCGCTTAGGTTTCTGATTTCCCATGTATGATTGAGATCCCGATGTTTGTGCTTCATAAGTCTCTGATGTCTCAGAAACCCAGATCTACCTCAATTATGTTTTTTGCCAACTCATTGGTTACTTAATCGTTTAGTATGTTGTTATTTTTCATATATGTCAGGGTCATCCACAATTATTTATATAAAATAATTGTATTGCTGAAGTGGGATTTTATGAGACTGTAATAGCTGTCTCGTTAACTACCTCAGATCTTATCACTTTGTTTGAGCAAATACAATCTGTTTTGTAACTTTGTTCTAGTGACATAGATTAAGAGCTTATTATTAGTAACTTATAGTGCACATTTCAACATTCTAGGTCAATATATTTCTGTGAACCATAGAAAGATAAGTATTTACCATTTCATAGCAGAAGTGTTAGACAGAGTGACTAAAGCTGGTTTTCATCAACAACTAGAGAATCACTGTGAACTAGAGAATACTGAATAAATTTATTCATGTCATATTGATAACCAAAATGATATTAAGCTGTGGTTTTCTAGACAAGTGAATGTACTGAACAACTAGACATTACATTCAAAAGTCATGTAGTGGACTGATAACTATCTTGAAGAAACAAACAATATCATGGACTTACATACAAATGGGTAGACTCAAAAAAAGGTTTACTCCCACATTTAACTAGCGATCATTTATGTTTGGAGCCCACTCTGTTGAGACATTTTACTTTTTAAAGAAAGAAAATTGTTAGGGATGCAGAGGAGTATACCAATAATTATCATGTTAAGTCTAATAGTGTCCTTGGACTTTAAATGGACATTTCCCATTGGTCGATATTTATTTCACTTGTCAAATATTGTACAAATGTTGTTTTCTATTTTATGGTACGATGTGGTCTGGTTGTTTGGTATATAAATAGAGTATGTCTGGAATATAATGATTCATAACTCAGAGGCTGGGATTTGTGTTCTGGACTCAACTGGCTGGGATAGACAGGGGAGCGGGACTAGTCGAGACTCTAGGCCGTTCGTACGTGTTTTCCGTGTCACTGTAATCGGTCGATAAGTCGCTGCTCCATAACCAGCATTTTCACGTCACAACAAAAATCCTTTGTGAGAACCCGTGGACAGTTGATTTGACCCGTGTCAGGTGTGAAGCAGTTACCCACCGAAGACATTGGAAGATGGTCGCTCAATATCGTGGATTGGCTGAATTTAGACATTGACAACGATGGATGCCGACCCAGTAGTCTAGAGTTTAAGCGCTCGCGCGCAATGCCGATGGTGCTGGGTACGAATTCTGCTTGCGGGATCGTGGATGCATAGTGCTGAGTAGTCCCATATCCGGACGAAACAGCAGTTCAGTGCTTTCAGGTTTTCAATGATTGTCTAATATTGGTTGGTCCATGGTTTCATTGAAACTAAACAATCTCCACAACCTTATACTGACAACAATCTGTGGAATCGTTGAACGTTGACTTTCAAATTGTCAAAAGTCACAGGATATCACTATATGACATTACGGATACGTTTTAACTCCTTATTCTATTCTAGTTTTAAATACTTACATTATGAGAAATACACTTGTTGTGTTGAAAGGTGATTGTTACTTTTTAAAATAAAAGAATCATATTTTTATAAATATTTCATTAAATTAAACAAATGACAAATCATGGTGTGCAGCAGTTTGATGTGTTAAGGTATATTCTGACAGGATTCAATGTGATAACTTTATTCACAGACAAAAACCAATTTTATCTATTTCCAATTATAAAATCACTAAGATCTTAGATTAGCATTAAAGAACTTACACAAGATTTCAACAACTACATTAAAACAAGTGAAAAATAACCGCGGGGGGGGGGAAGAATGATGAAACTATGTCCCTGTGTTAATTCATACCATACAAAGAAAATTCATTAATAATTTATCCAATGATTTCAATCAAGTCACATCTCTGTCTGAAGAACATGGTTATTTACGACAGACACATAAATAGATTTCTTTCATGTGTTCATATTTGTAAACTAAGAAATCAATCCAATTATGTTTAAGTTCCTTCAGGTTTTAAAATTAAATTTTGCAAATGTTTTCATTGTTTGTGATGATTTTAAAAAATACTATATATACATGTATTTACTGATGCCCAATAAATACACTGTGATAGTTGACAGTAGATAAACAACAATGCAGATTATTTCTAGTAAAATAATGTAGATGGATAAAACAAAACATGACCGGAATTAGTAGTATCATATATTATTTTGTTAACGGGTTTATAATAGTCTTGAGGAAATAAGGTTTTAATCAGCATAACAATGCAATCATGTAGAAGTATTTACAGATTAAGAAAATCTCATAGTGGAATAAACTAAACGTTTTGTTTGAACATAAACAGCCAGTAAACATCTTATTAATCTACTTTATTGTTAAGCATTACTGAAGAACCTTTTATCTTTACTGAGGTTGACCAGGAATAAAATCCATATCAAACATTTTGTCTTATTTTGACATTTTTGCCGGATGTAGTCGGATCCCAATGTTGGAATTTACGATGAAACTCTAGTCCAGCGCCATACGCTGCAAATCTCAAAACGTTATCCTGAGTTCTGTTGAGTCCTGCGAACCAACGCTTTGTGTAATGGGTATGCTTTTTTTCTAAGGATATGTAATTTTCGGTTATTTATTTTTACGATTGCAATCTATCAATCTCTGTCGGCATATTTGCATCCCAACCCTGACAAATGTTCCATGAGTGAACATGACTTGTACGGTTCAACCGTATCGGATCTGAATTATTTACTCGCATACCAATCACATTGGATTATTATCATTATAATCCATGAATCGGTTAAAGATAGGAATCTGGATCGCTGGATTCTAATTCAGCGGTCTATTAGACATGTGACGAGTTCAGAAAGTTCACTGTGAATATCTTGGTCACATCATGGATATACGTTTTGAAAAGTCAGATATAAGGCAGTAGTCTATCGCCTGGTATATTCCACCAATTATCTATTTTATATCAATTCCTAGTGATAGTCAATTCCGACTTCAACTAATATTTACAAACCCCTTAACAAAACAATTTATAAATTCACTTAATTAAATTACACATACAGATTGAATAGAAAAAAGACACTTAAAAAAAATAGTCCCGAAGTAAGAATTCACTGTACTGTTCTTTGTGTTTGTTATCTATTTGTCATTGTTGTTTGTAGAGACCTTATTATTTATAGTGTATCATACTAGTTGTATTTGTCAATTTGAAGTTGAAAGCTTTTCACTATATTTTACGACCTTCATCTTCTATTCTCCAGTAAAGTTATATCACATTCCCATTTTTGAATACATTCCGACTGTGATTGCTAGCTTGTTTCAATATTTATTTGACTGAATTAGTTTGTTAGGCGTATAATGTGTACCTTATGATTGGATTTGTAAAGTATATTTTGTTTGTTATTTAATGACAACATACTGATTTTTGTTCAGGTTTTAAATTATTGATGAAGATCCTTTGGAAATAAAAGGCATTTGTCTAATGAACTAAAGGTTTATCCGATTTTGTCTTGATAGCAGAAATTAAATTAAATGATGAAAACTAACGCAGTGATCAGATGATTACAGCAAAAAGTTACGTCTGGTGCCAGTCCAGTGCAAAAGATATTTTGGCGGGGCTATAAGTTATGGATGAAACAGTCATATTCAAGATATCAGGTCTTGAATTTCGGCGCAAAATTCATTCACTCATCCAGTTGAATGTTATTTTGGCATTAGAGCTGATGTCAGTTCGTGATAAAAATAACAAATCTAATTCTTAAATCTAACATTCAACTGTAAATCCTAATTATAATCCATACTCCTCATTTAACCCTAGTAGGTAGGTGGACATTCCAAATTCATTTTAACGTTGCTCAAGGGTCGTCCATAAATTATAGTCTCACCGACATTTTGAAAAGTGTTGAATAAAGAATAACGCTTAGAGTGCGAGATTTGTGGAAATTAAGAAATTTATTTTATCTGACGATTAATGAAAACCAAATAGGATACTGGTTGTTTCATATTTGGGTGAAACTCGAGAGCAGTTTGTACTAACGACCTCACTAGTGCTTTTTACTTATCAGTGGTCATTCAGTCAGTTAGTAACAACGTCTAACTAAAGCTCATGAAGAGCAGACTAGATAAAACCAGGCTGAGTTTTGACCTGAACGTGGTTGTATAGACCAGACATTCACACTACGTCAGGTTCTAGAACACAGACACACATTCAGACGCCCCACAATGATAGTATTTCTCGACCTTAATGTGGCATTCGACTCTGTTGGTCGTAAGGTTCTATGACAGTGTTTGTCACTGAAAGGAGTACCAAACAAGTACATTAACCTTATTCAGGCTCTCTACTCGAACACAACTGGTAGAGTGAGAGCTTATGGTGAACTGTCATCAGAATTAATTACCTCAAGTGGTGTTCATCAGGGCTGTCCACTCTCTACGTACTTGTTTAACTTTGTCGTTGACGTACTTTTAGAGATAACACTTTCCTCATCTAAATTTTTACGGGTTAAGCTTCTACCGGGAGGTTCACTTGTTGACTTGGAATATGCCGATGACATAGATCTATTTGGTGAAGACGCTGACAAAATGCAGTCTTCTGACCACTCTAAGCAACAATGCAAGCATGTTCGGCATGCGATTCTCCCCCTCGAAGTGCAAAATGTTGCTTCAGGATTGGGTTACATCGAAACCCGAACTAGTGATAGGGAGTGAAGTAGTTGAGTGTGTCGACCGCTTCACTTATCTTGGAAGTCTCATCAGACCTTGTGGTCTGGTGTGTGACGAAATCTCAGCACGGATACAGAAGGCTTGACTAGCTCTTGCCAACTTGCGTCATTTATGGCGTAGGCGAGATATCCGTCCATCAACCAAAGGACGGGTTTACTATGCAGCAGTTCGTCCCGTCCTGCTTTATGGTAGTGAAACATGGCCGGTAAGAGTAGAGGATATTAGTAGACTACTAGTATTTGATCATAGGTGTCTTCGAAATATTGCTCGTATATCCTGGGACCATCGAGTAAGTAACACAGTTGTTAGGAAACGGGTACTAGGTAAGGATGGCAAATCAATTGATGAAGTGGTGAAACTTCATCAGTTGAGATGGCTGGGACACGTGTTACGTATGCCCAACGACCGACTGCCTCGACGTGCGATGTTCAGTGGTATAGGAGTAGGTTGGAAGAAAGCTAGGGGCGGCCAGACCAAAACATGGCACAAGTCCATGAAGTCACTGACAAGTGGTCTGAGTCATGTTGGTAGGTGTAGACTACCTGGTTGGGGACCGCGAGATGATAGCGACCGATGGTTAGAGACCCTGAATGACATGGCTCAAAATCGTTTGCAATAGCGCAGATGCATCCACTCTTTGTGTTCTCCCAAATTTTGATCTCCTGATTCCCCCTTGTCTCTTTTTTTTCTCTTCCTAAACTTGTTTCACTGTATTATACTTTTTAAATAACATCTCTAAACTCCAATCTTCCCGATTACTGCTTATACTTTTACTACATCTAGCATTACGGGATTTGAATTGACCACGGCATCTCTGTGCTAATGTGGTATGGCAACTTGAACTGATGTACGTACGTACGAAGTTCTACGTTGTTACTGACTGACTAATTACACAATAAAGCAAAAAGCTGCTAACTCCAAAACCAAAACTACATAAGACGAACGGTTAATATGACAAATTAACAACGAAAACAGTTTGAACAATAATTATTCTTTGATTCGAATATGAGGGAGGGAGTAGTATGGAATGCGACTTATTCTACTTCGCAATAGCTACTTACTGCATAGTATTCTATCTTAACTTTTTAAGTGAGCTGATTTTACTGTATTCATTTAATTCTACATTTTCTTGGGATGTGTTATTTGCTTTGAACTCGTACGTAGGCATAAGAATTTGATGCATTAAATAAACAATAATTTTAATTAAATAATTCTTACTTTCATTATGAGAAAAAATGCATTATCTATCTTTTCAATTGAATAACTGTCTATATAGTCATTCCTCATCAATGAAGATTCGGAATGTTTACTGAGTTCAGAAATATATTCACTTTTATCCTGTTCTACTGAAGTTTTTTTGACATTTGGATTAGAGAGTATAGAAGATGGAGTGAAACGTTTTCCTCTAGGTGGTATACGTGGACCTGTAAAAAAAGATAAGCATTCAAAGTAGCCCTTCACTAATGTCTGAACTGTATTTACGCTACTAGTGTTGTCTCGTAAATCCAAGAAATATATGTATTCATATTTATTCTAGAGGTTTCCAGAACTTCAAGGTACATGATCTCTGATTTATATAACAGAATACATTTTGAAGTATATCTTCACTCGTGTAATTGTTATCTGATTTGTTTACAGCTCAAGACTTATAAAGTAGCATGAGCCTAGTAAGCAAATAGGAAATTATCACATATCTTTGATGTCCAGACTTAACAAACAACACTCAGTTCTTAAGAAAAGACATTATATTTCTTGAGATAGCTTCAGAAAAATCAGTTTGACAAATATAGTACATGAAACATTGGCCTCGATAAACATGTAACGCTTAGCTAGGGATCATGAGCACTAAACCAGTAGGAAGCAATTATATTTTTCAGAACTAACTAGAGGTAAATGTTTCCATCATATGGTCATCTTTCATCAGGTTTACGAACATAAGAAACGTTCCCGACCACAAATGTATTCTTTGACGTTTTGCGATTTATTAATACTTGTTTACTTCCTTTACTTCTTTAACATGTTGCTTTATTATTAATTAGTCTCTTAAGAATATACTTTTTTATGAAGGATTTTGATGTCGCTTAGTCGCTTTACGAACTATTTGACTTCGAAACAAACAAAGTTTTGAACAGATATTTTGAAATTAAGCATGTAATCCATCAGTATTATTATCATCAAATATGACATTTTCATAATACTCGTAAAACATCTCCCTCTCCCAAGAAAACGAGTGGTTCGTAAAGTTTGAAGTTCAAGATAAACGGCTGTTGACCGCTGTTGTAAAGATGTCTTAAATTTCTTTGAATAATCTCAATTACAATTTGGCATAATGAAAATCTATTAGGGGATTCAATCTGTAGAGCTGGGAATTTTTTCATACAATGCATATCTTTGATACTAAATATAATTATTAGTATTATCATAGTCAAATATTTCAGCGCTAAATTTCGGAAAATACTACAGTATTCTAAAGGTTTGAATGAGATATTACAATGTAGAATATAATTTAGGTAGATGACAAATATTACTTTTATATCTCGTAAAAATTAGAAAAACGATTAATTAATCAATAAAGCACTACTTTTCTGTTCTGAACTCACCATTTCCTAATTTAACATTTGAAGAGACAACGGTTAAACATCGTTCACTGGATTCCTGTAAAACATGAAATACAGAAGATATGAGCAGGTTTAAGCGAAAGTAACCTAATTATTCAACCAAGGTCATGTGAATTATTTATTATCATGCGTACATAGACATTAGAAGCTGAGTCTACTATGACTACCTTCATTCGCTTTTGGTTAAATCATAGACAGTATAAATCTGAAATTTATCTAACCCAATCTTAATCATTAAATGCAAAAATTATATACAAAATACTCGTAGCAACAAAAATCCAGATATCTTCAACGTTTCGCCCAGCGAAATTTCCCGAGCTTCTTCAGAGATGTTGAAATTAGTAAAATTGAAATATTTGAGACCATTTAAAATATAATTTTTATAGGTAATATCTTCAAAATAATTGGCATCCACGTTTTGTCAAGCTGGTCGTCCCAATTACGACGAACATTCAGATAAACTAATCCTAATTAATTCACTTGGTATTGTTTTATTTAAATCTTCCCATTGATGTTTAGGACTGCAATTGACCAGTCTCTTATTCAAGTAAAACAATAACAAATGAATTAAACCTCATCCCATTGCACAAGCAAGTGGCTATCAGGACTCACTAGCTAAGTGGATAATGCGATAGCGTTTGAAGCGAACGGTAGTGGGTCCGAGTCCCAGAGTGGACATCAACCCAGATTCAGGTACATTAAGCTGACAGGACGAAACGCACGTCCTGGATTCCACTGCTAGACATTATCCATCTTTGCTTATAATTTTAATTAGTTTACTTTATTCCAAGAATATGGTCACATTAAATGAGTAAGTTGATAATTTCACTAGAAATCTTTGATATTCACGCAACAAAATGTTCTGAGAAATCACAGCTTTCTTATTACTAATAGTGTAAAGATATTATTATCAAATAAATCGATCGCGAAATAAGCAATCAATATGACTTATATCGTATTCGTGAATTAAACACGACAATCAGGCCCTAATTCATATATATTGGTTGTTTGAATCTTTCCATAGATATTTAGGATTTCATTTGATCAGCCTCTTTCGGCATGTGGGTATCCTGTGCGAATCGCCTCAATGGTGTCATTAAGTCACAAGCACTATAGGAAAAAATAAAAGGTAACTAGCAGTAAAACTCAGAATAGGCGTTTCATCTTACCCCGGACTCGTCGCCTGGATTTGTTTGTATCCCAGAGTTATGGTTCACTCCGGGACTTCAATTCAGTGTCGCTCATTTCAAACGCCATCACATTATATAGTTAGCTACTGTTTCCATATAGCCACAAGCTTGTGAATAATGCTATGGCGTTTGAAGCAAGCAATATGAAAGGCCAACCACGTCTCGAAACGTTCAGTGATAACACTTCAGATTACGAAGCTGGACGACACTTTTTTGAAATACACGATCAATACCAGTTCCCTCACGGTAACGGGTATGTCTTACTGATGAGTTCTAAGTAGTGTGAAACTCTCTCTGTCAATTACTTTCAACCAATTAACATCATAATACAATGTCAGTTCAAGAATTGATGAAAACAAAGTATAGTATGACTGTCCCCTCTTAGCTTGGGACTCTCTTTAGTAATACTCAACTGCCATTTGAGAGTAAGTAAATGCAGTTTATATATATATATATATATATATATATATCAACGATAACCCTGAACATTAAATACACATATGCTCATGTATACTATACCTTATGAGATTGATGGCCATTTTTGTCAATAATCGGTCCATTTTCATCAACATTATCTTTTCTTCCGGGTACAGTAAATTCTAATTCTGTTTGTAGTCTCTCTATATGAACGAAAAAGAAATGATTAAACATCGGTATTTCAGTAGACGCGATATTAGTGATCGAAAATTTTGTCAAAAATATCTATAAATAGGATTAACCCTTAAAACAATGTCGGACAAAAGGATTCAATTAGAAATACTTTTTGAAAGGAAATAAAATCATTATTAACTTACTTATTAATAAGAAAAGTATCCAAAGAGAAAATCATTAAAATAATGGATATATACAGATATTTCTTCTATAAAATTTAATAATGCATACTGTTTTCTATACATACTTAAGAGGAAATATCACCGCTTTGTGAGTATTCGAAGATTTAACTAATCGACTAAACTATACAATTATATCATAAAATTTATTTTTATTTACTTTTTTTTAATGTGAGGCGTTTATGAAGATTGTTGGAATTCGAAGTATTTATATCATGAACTAACCTTCTTATTGAAAACTATGAAGAACTAGACAGCCATTTCATCCTACCATATAGTCATGAATGTACACTGTTAAGGAGTCTCATAATAGCCTTTTTATACTCTTTGGTTTTTACTGGTTGTCTAACTAAAGTCGGTCAGTGATATGAACTATGTAATTTAGTTATTTAATACGTTTTTCTCTGAATTCTGAATTCCAATACATTTTAAGACAAATCAGTGATTTTAATCACAGTAATTACAGTAAGCTAATGTACACAATTTTGATAATATGTCTCGACAGCGAACTAATAACATCTATAAGAACAAGTGATAACATCGATAAAAATTAGCAATCAATTCATGTCTTATCTCAAAGGACATTAGGCTTAATCAGTGAAGATATTTATGAACAATCTAAAACGTTTCTTATCTTCTAGGATACAAGTTGTGGATTATTCGACATTATTGTAAAACTCAATTTCAAATATATGAATGGACTTGAGTAGTTCATATTGTTAATATTGAAGAGTGCATTAGATCAGTGGATATTGACCTACGTTTATTCGTATTGAGTTGATTTGATATTAATTTTTAGTTGCAAGTCTCAAAATAGTTGGAGTGTGCCTAACAATGAACTTCAGGATCCGAATCCTGGATGCATGGTCCATAAACGTAGAGTATTGTTAACTGTACAATACTGGGAGGGAAGTAGGGTGTTAGTAGACAGAAAAACTTATTTACGTAAAATTTCTATAAAGTTCTTTCTCTTCTACTATAGATTTAAGATTAAATGAGTCATCTTGGAATTCTGATTAAGCAACAAATAAACTTTATTAATTGATTGAATAATTTCATTTATTCCAGTATATATATTTCCGGTATTAGAATGAAATAATTCAGCATTACTAGGCAATATCATGTAAACAGTAAAAATTTATATCTAATAAAAATTGTGTTTTAAAACATTATGAATGTCATTTAGTTTTCTGTTTTTTTCAATAAAAGAATATAAAAAAAGATAAACAAACAAAATGAATATGCCTACGGTGTTTGTTCAAATCAACTAACTAACCTATTGGTTTAGGAAAAAAATCATAAAGCCAGTTAAAGTAATATGCTAACATTAAAAGAAATTAGATTACGTTATAAGGGAATGTTTTGTTCATCATTAGCTTTTCTTCGAAAATATTTATCTGTTTTCATCACGAACTGACTTTAGTCAGAGAACCACTGAAAACTAGGGAGCACTAGACAGCTATTTTGTCTTAGTATAAAACTTCTCAACATTAAGCATCCGTATCTCTTCTCAAAGGGTTGAGTACAAAACTTCCAGCTCTAGAGAGTCTCATGGTTGGGCGAAACTTCTATCCTTTTTTTAGTGGCTGGCTAATCATGGACAGCTCGTGTTACAAACTATAAAGTTCAACAATCTACACAAACTCATTACTCTACTTGTTCGGTTTTTATTTTTTGCATTAACTGAGACTACTGAAATTCAACCAAATCGAGTGTGAGACATTTATTCACCACACACAATGAAAAGTTGTGCAATATTGTCAATTGGTTAGTGTTGGACACCAACACCGTCGGATGGAAACTCAGCGATTTAAAGTTTAGACGTTTGCATGCTAGGATGAAAGCTCTGTGTATGGTTACCGGTGCAGCGTCAAAGATGCGCACTGGTGAGAAGTCCTACACCTGGACGAAACGGTCATCCAATTTTCCCAGGTTTTCAATGGTGATATAGACAAGGTAAGTTTGTAATTTAGACCTCTAAAGTCATAGAGATTCGGTTCAGTTTTGTGGGCAGCGAAATACATTCCTGTTTGGTTAGAGAAACGTTTTCATCCACCTACAAGTGGGATTTAATGATTGTGGCATTATCTCACAAATAGAAAGAAATAAAAAATTCGAACCACTGGATTTCAAAGTAGTGATCTAATTGGTTCGCTGGGAGATAATAAAGGTTCTGGATTCTCACCTAAGTGATATAGTATGTACATACTGGTAATGAGTCACATAACGAAACAAATTGTCTTTCTAGTATCCTTTGATTACCGAGTGTTTATTGACTTATACCAGTCAATGAACCAGACCAGTTATAAAATATTTTAAGTTATTTTTTGTAGGTGCTCATATAAATTATAAACTACATAGCTTTTCCAAGTTGACGAACATTTTTCCATTCTATTCCCATGTTGGTGTGACTATCTAGAGCAGTAGCAGATAATTTAGTTAATTAATTAGTAAGCAGCTGCCTCTGTATTTAAAAAACGGTCAAACAAATTCATTGGAAAGAGTCGTTTCGTTCTTCTCATTCAATAGTGACCAAGTTTCCAAACCTTCTATTACACACATCCAAAATTACAGCGGTTTGAGCCATCAAATTTAGTCTTAGAATCGGAACTAACTTTTTGTACTTCTGTCCTTTGTTTAGCTATTAATGTCTTCACGATATGCTTACTCATTTTATTTATTTCCGTAGTTTTTATTTAAACATTTTGACGATAAGTACCCTCTAACAAGTATACATTTAATGCATTTGTTTACTGCGTGCTCCAATTTCGTTTAATAGTTGTGGCCAAGTTAATGAATCGTACGTATGAGCACATAAATATAACTGTTTACTAAAGGAAAGCCTTAGAATGCTGTGATTGAATACAATACTATTCGGTTACATGTTTTTTCCTTCAAAATGTATTATTTCTCTCCTATATTCAGCTACAGGTGCTGTAACTAGAAATCAGAAGTGAAAAATAATTTCATCACTATAGAAGGAGTATACTAAAGTAAAAAGTTGAAAATATCAACCGCCTAATGATCATAGACTAACCTCATGTGAAACAAATATTTGGTATACTTAATCAACCAGAGATTATTTAGTCTTGTATCCAGCGCTATTACTTTCATATATCTATTTTTCTGTTCATTTTATTTGGCAAGCATTCACTGATACAAAGCTTTACTATGTAACTAGAACAAAAAAAGTTTGTTTTAGTTCTGATATTTATGTTAGCTGTTTTTAATGTAAGTTCGTCAAAGTTCCTCAATGTTTGCTTAAAAATCACACTAAAAATGGACAGAACTTGACATATTTACGAAGAATCTCTTTGTATAATCATCAAAAGCTTACAGTGGTTGATTATTTACTTTTAAAAATCTGCCTGAAAAATCCACATGAAAAATCAAGTATTTATATAAAACAGTGTATTACTGGTTTAATCTTGTTTCTTGAGTAGCTTTGAACACAATATGACTACAACAAGGAGATGAATAAAAAATTACTGATAAACACTTGCAAGCTTCAATTACAACACAAATAATACAAACAGACTATTACCTTTACAATTGTAGAACTCAGCATGTTTGACACCTCTGGGAGGATCAAGCGGTGGTAGCATTAATCTGGGTTTTGAATCAGCACGTAAAATATTATTTGTCCATGGATCTTGCGATCCAGTTGATAAATCATAAGCCTCCACATCGTAAACTAGTGGATTATTCAAAGTAGTATAACCATCACATGGCCATATATCCAGATTTAGTGAACATTTATTATGATTTTGGTAACATTTTAATGGGCGATCTGTGTTTTCAATAAAGTGCGGACTATGGTCAAGTCTAGCTTTACTGGCTTTGGGTGATTTCGTATCGTCACGTTTCCTTAACATGGACAAAGGACAGTTATCAACTGTAGAGTCAGTTCCAAAGAAAGAAATCGCTGCTTTCCTTTCCGCATCTCTCAGCATACGACAATCTAAAGGGATAAAAAATATAAAATTTAAGTCATATATATGTTACGTACTTGACTACTGAAACATTTGTCGATATATTTGCTTCTGACAAATGACTGTTGATGACTCTAAAGCCTTTAGTGCCACTACTGATATCAATGTACCAAATGAAACAACATTATAGCTTCAAGCTAGCTAGTAAAATCATTTAGATGTTTTATTGCAGTTGCGTCATTAAACCAAATCACATGATAATGTGATACATTATATTTAATGTTAAACTGACATATAATTCTCATTTAAATATTTCGAACACAACCTTTAGTGAAGAGATCTTTTTTCAACGAATTTATTATTAGTAAAGTATTAGTTCCCTGGTGACTTATTAACAAGTAATGAACATGATGATGTAATAGAAAGATTATAATACTGGATTACGTAATATGAATATTAACAATGAAAGACTATGTGTGTATAAATAGAAAGCCTTCAAAAATAATTAAGTCAGCAAAAGACGATAATATGAGGCACTTTTCTACCACCATTGCTGTAGAAACAATTTATAATGACTAAAAAAACAAATATTGACTGGTAAAAGGCTAAAAATAACCGAAATCGTGGTTACCTTAATGGCTCAAAGTTAGGAGGCTACCAAATTGAGTTTGTAGATCACTCATTTAAAGATAGGAAAGATAAAAACCAAAAGAATTTGGAATAAAGGTTTGAGCAGGACAAAGTGTAAAAGACTATTAAATTTTAATGACCATAGTTGACAAATAAGTCTAACTAGAACGTATTTGAACATGATTCACTCCACTAAAGTAAATATTTATGCAATTTGGACATTTACGGCTAAGTGATTTATACGCTTTTTACCGATAAGTCTTCACGTAAAATTAATAGTAATAACTGTTCCTAATGTTAATAGGAATAATTCAAGCTGATTGAACAACTTAATGCCATCTTAAAAAGTAGCAGGGAAGATACCTTTCAAAGAAAAATATATTCAAACAATTATCGGTCGACACTTTGAAATTTAATTTATTAGTTGTTCTCAAAACTGAATTGTGATCCTTGAGATCTAAATGTTTACTTTATGAACATTTAAATTATTATACTAGTAAAGGTTTTCCAAATTATATAACCGTCTAGATTGAAGAAAATTAAACGGACAGTAAATTTGCGCACACCACGCATAAATACTTACTAATTTTTGGTAGCACGCACTTTTGACGCGTTTAGATTTCTAATAAACTTAAGGAAAAAAGACGTGTAGATTCACGCAGTTAACGCCTTGACGCGCAAACGTCTTGTTGACAGGTTCGTGCTTGCGAATACAAGGCTTTAACTATACAAACAACGGCTATTTAATGAAAACCTACGTCAAATTAATTGCAGAAGAAATTACTAGACCGACATGTTTTACATTTATTAGTTGTTCTGTATGAAAAATCATGGACAAGTGAATATGTCTATTTAACTGTTGAATCACAAAATATCAGTGAAAAACGCTATAATAAGAAAGAAGTGCTCTACTTTAAGACATAAGTTTCAATAGAAAACTGAAAAATATTTCAAAATACTTCCTACCCACCAAGCGTTTTTAGTTTAGGAAGGATGTACGTGAGGTAAAGCCTGTAATCGGAGTTTATACGCGAAACCGGATTCAGCCTGAGGTCCAAATCTCTGATATTTTGGTTGAAAGATAGAACTCGAAGTTCATTTATCTCTTCTATACTATTGTAATATAGGTTTAATACTTCCAAAGTCCTAATGTGTTCGATACCCTGTTTGTATAAGTGACAAGTATAGAAAATATTACTCTGATAGATTTCAATACGTTTCTTGATAGATCCAAAATTTTTAACCTTGAGAAATGCAATAACGAAGTCCCAAGGCAGCTAATTTTTTCCTCATAGTTTCCTTGTAGTATTAATGTTTTTATGTCCTCTATGAAAATAGACAGGTTACAAATCACGTACCTAGATTTTCACCGGAAATTTTAACCTTCTCTTTTACCCAGTCTTCTGATATAGAAAGATATTTACTCATGTTGTCATGTTGTCAAGATGTCGAATTAGCTCACACAGGTGGTACTGAAGGCTATGTATCTCTGGTGTTTATGAAGTAAAACAAATACATAAAAGTCTTGGAAATGTTTTTATGGAACACTCAGTATCTTAAAAACTCTCTTTTTTAAAGTTTGATGAGTGAAAATATCACTAACCAGTAAGATTGAAAATTGAAAAATTTCAGATGGGTTTTGTGGATATTATAGTAGTTTCAATGATTAGGATCATGAGTCATTTGAAGCTAGACCACCTCGGAAAACACGAAAGCCCTAGACGGCCATTTCGTCCTACTCTTAAGTTGCAGATATCTACTAATCCGTCACAATTACTATAGTCTGTTACCGCGGTAATTAATTTTCTTCTTCTTAGTTTTTACAGTTGTGATTGACAGTGCCATAAAAGCTTATCACTTCTGAGCACCTCATGATGAACAAACATATCACCTCGAATGTACCCGATTGCTGTTGTGAGACACCATGCATTAAATCCCAGGAAGAATATCGGTGTAGTTTGTGTCTATATCTAACGTACGTGGTTTCAAAACAGTAAGTACCACGTATTTTTACTAACTGACTTAGTTTTCTGTGTTTGAGCACCCTCAAGGCCGTTAAATTCTGCCGTGAATGAGTTGTCATAATGGTAATCCTCAAACAACCATTGAGCCTTTTGATAATTTCTTGTGAAAATCTACTGGACATCAATAGACTATAGAGAGCCTTAGGAGTTTCCGGAAAATTTCATCAGCAAAGGATCAAAACTTTTAATTCAAAACTCTATTTCCCGGACTCATGGGATGAATGAATTAGAAGCAGTTGGAACATAATTTTACGTACCTGTGGCGGTAAATTAATTCCCCACATAAATAGTTCTGCAAATCCCTAATGTCCTCACCTTCCAACACATTCCATTCTGTCCCAATAACGTCGAAGCACAGTTTCGCTATGCAGAAGCTGACTCCCACTGGTACGGGGCTATAGACTTACATGCACGATTCTTTGCAGTACCGCCTGTTTGTGTGCTCCTCGATAGTATAATGGTGGGTATGTCCGCTACGTAACACATATTTTAGAATTCGTGGAAAACCCTGAAGTTTTTCAAGATCCAAAACGTCTGACATGAAAACTTACCGACGACAAGCGTTAATTGCGATCGTAACCAGTAGATGCTATACATCATTAATGTGACGACGAAATTTTGCTATCCCGTTGACACTTACGCAGCTAATTCTAACGACTGTCTGCATGGACCGGTCTTTAACTTAAAAGTGGCAAACGGAAAACCGGTCGCCACATATGTTAAAAGATATATTCACGTGATATGAGTTTACGCAAGTCCATTCATTGGGTTCTCCCTGTTGCAATTGTTTTTATGCTGATGATTGGCATAGACCAACTACATCACCATAATATATTCATCTACCCGAGGAAACGGAAGCAATCAGAAAAACATACTTGTAAGATCCAAACTACGGTTGGACTGATGGACAGCTGTCTGGATTAGTTAGATACGCGCCCTCGCCCGTTTGAAACCAAAACAAAGTAATTGGGTAAGAAAGCGGTTCTAAACAAATATAACCACTCATCTATCCAACCAATAATTGTTCAATTGATCAAATCAATCACCACAAATAAATGTTATTCTATCCTGTCTGGATAGATCACGTACAGATTCGTTCAAAAGTTAATAATTGGTCGCTCTATAACAGTGTTTTCAATTCTGGAATAGTGCCTCAATTCACAACCAAAATGCACAATTCCAGTCAACACAGGTCAAGCGATCAAAAGCAGGAACGAACCAATATGGCTGCCGCCCAGACTTGGTATAATGTAAAACAACATAAGTGCAGTTCGTGAATAAACACGGGGAATTAGTGAAAGTGTAGTAAAAACAAAAACTATAATAAAATACAAATATTAACAATTCAAATGTAGTCAAAAAGTTAACAACGTGCAACTAAGAGGAGCAATAGGAACAAGGTGCAAGTATATACATGGAGGGATTTTCGCAAACACACAAAGCATTCAAAATGGATCTTACAATACTGAATTATCTTTTTGTGGAATTCCACTTTATTGTCGTACATTATGCACAGTTAAGTATACAATCGATACATGCTTTCAAGGAATACGCGTCGCCACAGAGCGTGACCGAAATCGCTTTATGCAACCGAAGTTGTTACACAACATCTCACTTCTGCAGGACCACACGTATTTGCGAAAATATATCCTCTCGCTGACGAAAAGCTGACACTACTAAAAGCTAAGGCCAGACAGGCTTCGGAATTATCTTTCTATCGAATAGGCTACAGGCATCACCCTTGTACATAATCTCTAAACTAGGCAGCAACGATTAACATCCAACGGGTTAATGTCAGTGGCGCAATAAGTAAAATTCTCCTGATTTTTACTTCTTGCTGCTTATTCAGCTTTCGACAGCCACCTTAAAAGGTACAACTATTTTTCTCGAAAATGAACTCACTTAAATTATTTAATCAATTTACCATGACTCTAGACGATATTTTTAAAAGGATTGTCATCACGCTCTTTGGACTCAACGAACTTTTGTACGTGGCTTTCGGTTTAACAACTGCTAAGTAAACTTTTCGGCGATTTGTCCAAAACATGTATATAAAGTTCTGAATATTGTGCAAGACTGCTTGATCGCAAGTTCTGACAGAAAATCTCATCTCCAGCATCTAGATCTTGTTTTCAGACTATTACAAAAACATGGCATTACTGTGGGCATTCACGAAACAGAATCTGTCACAAATGTCGCTTTGGTTTTACACTTACGCTCACAGGTTGATAAAAACATTACAAATTCAGTCTCTTTATCAAATTCCACAATCTAGGAGTGATCATAGACCATACACCTCTAAAAGCTCTGTAACTCGTAGTACTCACAAATGAACTCTTGCTGAATGCATTTGGTTCGTTTTTCATAATTTCTTGTAGAAGTGGTTTTACATGCACTCACAAATCCCGTTATATATACCTTTAATCGTCATCCAGACGAATTCTGTCTGAAAAGTGCATTGTGAATTACGCCACAAGAAGAGCATAATGATATGAAAATAAAAGAATAGGTGTAAGATGGAGTTTATTACTTAGATTAAGGGAGTAGCTTCAAAACCCCTTCACGAATAATATTTCACTGTTCGGCTGAAAATGAAAAACTTTAGCATGACAGACACTGAATAAAGCAAAACATCATTCTCAGTAACATCTCCAAATGGTCACATTGCCTTTGTGATTTCATCTGGGGAGTCGGAATATATCAACGGATATTGGCAAACTATGCTTTAATCTGGGGACCTCTGCAACTCCCACAACGTGAAAGTAAGAACACAAAGACTGATATAAGTAAAGATTTATTAGCCCGCAAAACTCGACGACGGCCCTAATTGAAAGTACACTCATTTATATACGGATTGTACACACTTTGATTAATAATTGGGTTAGAATCACATGTATAACAAACATTCACTTGTAACAAATCACGTGCTAAGCATAGTTCATGTCCATTGAATACAAGAATAACGTATATTATAAAGAATAAAAAACTATACGAGGAAACAAAAGAAGTGCTACACTGAATAATCATCATATAAAATAAACATGGAAGTAATGTTGAACAGAAATCACAATAAGTAAATCAATCAAATTTGAACTTTTCTTCGCGCCATATCGAAACATTATATTTTTATTATCTTATATCGGATAATGAAAAGCTTTGTGTGTTTGAGCAGGTAACCTCCCGCTACATCGTGACTGTCCCACGGACTAAATAAAGATCTACTCACTAATAGTTTGGTTGTTTTTATCAATGGAACGAGGGCTACCTTTTGGCTCTCTCTCTCGAAATGCTCTCACATGGTCTCGCGTATTCAGTCAGTAGCTGATAAGTGCTGTTCATCGAATTTTTGTGGCAGCGTTATTTGCGGCATTGGGCAAACAAAGAGCAAATGTCCAGAGCTATAACCAGGATGGTAGATATGAAGGATCGACCTAAGGAATTCCGAGATGCTGAGGCAGCAATTGGTGTATGAACTTATTGTTGTCCACCATCTACCATGGCACTGAATCTCCTAACCCCGCCTTATTGCTTTGTGGAGAGTCTCTCTCATTTAGAAAACCACGTACCTAGGTTTGATCGCACGGGCAATATCTCTGCCTGCGCACAAGCCAAATGAGGATTGATACTGGAAAAAATATTCTTTCTTCAACTCACATTTACACAAATTTCATTTTTTATATTACTTCACTTGTCTACCCCATTTATTCTGTTTTTGTATGTTCGTGTTCAGCAGCTCACCAATGATGGAAACTTCTTCCTGTATAAACAATCTCAAGTTGATGACTGGTCGAAAGTGATCGAATGTGACCACCGACTTAGAATAATATAACGATCTTGTGTAATAAAAATTGGCCTCCCTCAGTCGCTTGTGAAAGCATGTTTCGTGTGAGATCACCTAGGATATTGTGGTATCTTTGTCTAGTATTGCTGTTGTTGGTACCGCACTGAGTGTCAGAACTGAGGCGACACTTATCAATTAGATCCTCGTTAACAGCCGGTTATGTACTGTTAGATTAGAAAGTTCCATCAAAATGCGAAGAAATCGGTATGAGAGACGATGTCTTACGTCATCGCCTACCCTCCGACAGATTGCAGCGCGGATGTGATCATGGATGAGTTTAACAACAAGTTAAATGTCCTTTCACAGAAAGTGCATGCGAAAGATATTATAGTGCTAACCAGGTACAAAAGAGAGTCATTTAAGTGATCGATGGGGATTTGTTGATCTCAGGTCAGATAACAGTTACCGTCTACTGCAATCGTGCGCAAACTACGTGTTTCTGGTTAGCACTAACTACCGGCACAATCATCGCAAACAGGCTACCTGGAGTCCTCCATCTGCGTCTCAAACCCGAGCTCAGATTGGATACATCGCGATTAGCCACCGCTAGCATGGTTGTGTGCAAGCCTGGCGCTTCTTTTAGAGTACCTATCTGAACTCTGTTCATGCTCTTGTTTG